ACACTTGCATTCAAGCCCTACATTTTTTTCCCAGAAACTCAAGGCTATTAATAGCTTCCACTGACGACTACGTCAACTCTCCACTGAGACAAATAATGGCACAAATAGTGACTGAGCAAAACAGCGTCTCAACAGGGACGAAGATGACGGTGGCGCTCAAGTATAATCCTCCTCCTGCAGCCGGCTTCTGGTTCAACTGCCACCACCGATTTCTTTTGCTAGCCCTTCCACCACTGCAGAGATCTGCTGCCCTGACCACGGGGAGACGCGCCTCTCGGAGAATCGTATGCTCCGTTTCACATCAGTACAGCAGCTGGGAGCCGGTGCCTTGAGCTGGGAAATAGGCACGTCGGGATTTGACGTGGACGGTCTGCCCAGGTCACAGGCTCGTTGGTAAAATAATACAGCACATCCTTCCTTTTCAGAAGAGGTGTTGTAGAGCACTGTTTCTTACGTTCTCCATCCCTGGCACAATTATTCCTTTTCTTAGGTTTCTTGCTGACCAGCAGACTTCCTCTTTTAAACACACCACTGTGTAAATCTTATCCTGGGAAGACGTAGACACACTCGGCCCTATGTCCCCAACCCACCCATCTCTGTTTGTTGCTCCCTGTAAGGCACACAGCCTCTGCTCAGCAGTAAGTAAGAAAACCACAGAAGACTCTGAAATAGATAGGCACAGCCAAGTGCCTGCTCAAACTGCCCGCTGCGTCCCTGGCTGTTTCCAGGCTGGCTTCTGAGCCTTGCTGCCCCTGGGCTGCTGCGTCCCATGTCCGTCTTGACTGGTCTCTCCACAGGTGTAAATCCAGAGCAGGATGAGTCCCTGGTTCCTCTCTGCTATCCTGAGGCCATTAATCACAGCTCTGGCCTCCCAGGAGCTCACTGCTAACTGCTAACAGGGACATCAACCAGAGAGCAGCCCTGGGGCTCTACCCTGCAGGTACCAGGTAGGTCAGTTCCTCTGACACCAGTAAACCTTCACTGGCTATCTTAGATGCAGAGAGCACGCTCCTGAACCCATCTCTTTGTGGTTCAGATCAATTAGAAAGCTGAGAGATGGCAGAAAGGGAGAGGAAGACTGAGTTTGGTTTCCTCTTTGCAGCCAGGGATGTCCTCTATGCGCCCTAGGCCTGCCTCTGTTTATGAAGAAGAGAGAAGGTGGCACAATAATCCTTCCTGCCTTAAGCCAGGCATTTGCTACCTTTACCGCGTCTCACAATAAGGTAACAATTCCCAGATCCCAACGTTGTCCCCATCCAGCCAAGGCAAGCCTCCACTTGATCTCTGCTGCGGTGGAGAAGCAGCCTTCCACACAGCAAGCCCAAACATCTGACCCCCATGCTCTCACCTCGCAGATCCCGACCCTTTCCTCTTCACCCTTGGGAGCATCTTAAAACTCGGCAGAGGTGAGCTGTGGCAATGACTGACAAACTTGGACTGGGAGAATCCAGCGGTTGCCATCTGGGTCAGCCTAACCAGCATCCTCTGCCCAACCACAGCAAACACGGGAGGCTCCAGAACGTCATGGCTGCCCCAGTGTCTTTGATACGGAGCAAATTTTTTTTTCCAACCATGTTGGCTGGGCCCTATACTGAGCATAAGAGTTTCCATATATTTTTTTTGACAACTGATTAGCTCAATCCTTACCAATCACAGTTGATCTGTTATCCATATACAGTTCCCATCATGAGGGATGAGATTCTTCTTCCCCTTCTCTCCCACCTTCCTTTGACCGCTGGCCTGCAGAAGCCTGCAGCAGTGGTAGCCCACCTGTGTCCTCCCAATGCAGAGAGCTTGCTGCACTTCAAAGCCAAGGAACAGGCAAATAGCCCATGGCCGAACCCAATCTGAATCGGAAAGAAACTCTTTTTCCCCAGGAAGGAGAGGCTGATCCAGCAGCTCCCTTTGGATCACCCCTCCTTGAGCTCCTCTTAAGAAATGCTGCAAGATTTCCTGTCGATCGCCCCAGAACATACTTGGGGGTAAGGAGAGGAACAACAGCCACTACAATAAGCCAGCCTTTATATACCAACCTGTCATGGTTTAGCCGCAGGTGGCAGCTAAGCACCACGCAGCTGCTCACTCACTCGTCCCTGACCACCACCCCCCTCCCTCAGTGGGGTGGACAGGACAAATTGTAACAGAAGGCCTGAGGGTCCAGATGAGAACAGGGAGGGATCACCCACCAACCATGGCCTCGAGCAAAACAGACTCAAGACAGACTTGGGGACAAATCAACTTAATGAATTAACAGTTACTTCAGAGAGGACAATGAGAAGCAAAGCCAGATCTTAAAACACCTGCCCCCCACCCATCCCTTCTTCCCAGCTCTACCTCCTCCCCTCCAGCAACAAAGGAAGACAGGGAATGGGTGTTGCAGGTCAGTTCCTCACATGCTGTTTCTGCCACTCCTTCCTTAAAGGGGGAGGACTCCTCACATTGTTCCTTGCTCCAGTGTGGCGTCCCTCCTCATGGGAGACAGCTCTCCACAAACTTCTCTGATGTGAGTCCTTCCTGCAGGATGCAATCCTTAGGCATCAGATTGCTCCAGCATGGGCTTTCCCCTTGGAGTCACAGCTTCTTAGGGGTACAGCCACCCACTCTGATGTGGAGCCCCTTCCCACATACTGCAGACGCATCTCTGCTCCACCATCAGTCTCCAGCAGCGTGGGGTCCTTTCCCACAGGAGGCAATCCTCTACAAACTCCTTTGGGCATAGGCATCTCTGCTCCAGTGTGGGGTTCTCCATGGGCTGCGGTGGATCTCTGCTCCACCGTTTCTCTCGTGGGCGGCAGAGGGGCCACCGGCCGTCTCACCACCTCAGCTTCGTCACACCTCCTCCTGCTCCATCTTCACTGACCTTGCTGTCTGCATGGCGATTCATCTCAGATCTCAGTCCTCTCTCTGCTGCAGCTGTGCCAGGCCTGACCGGTCTGATGAACCTCATCCGTCCTGGCAGGATGAACTCCACCCAGCGGGTGCCCAGGATCGCGGCACTTCGGAGCTCTCCAAGCTGCACCACTGCAGCTGTCTCCAGGTGGTTCAGCGTGGGCAGCTGCCTGCCCAAGAGGCCAGGGGTGCCAGGCTCCCCACCTACCCCCTCTCTTCACTGCAGGTCCCACATGACGTGGGTTCCTTCGTCCTCTCCTTAAATATATTATTTGCAGAGGTGCTGGTTGGCTCAGCCCTGACTGGAGGCTGGTCCGGTGAGTTTTGGAGCTGGGGAAACTTCGAGCAGCTCCTTCCAGGGGCTGTCCCTGCAGCCCCTTCCCCGCTACCAAAACCCCACCACACGAACCCAGCACACAACCCCAGCTCAGCCTTGGCGCAGCCTTAGATGGCTGTGACTCTCCTGCAAAAACGTGCACCTTCATTTCAGGCTTTGATTAAGGCTGGAAGTTTGCAAGTGAGAAATCTTCACCCAGAAAACTCCAAACCTCTCTTCCACGCTGCAGCACTGAACGCGCTCCAGTGATGTTTTAGAGGCACAGACAAAGCCGGCCGAGCCAGGGTGGAGGAGGACAGGTCATTAAATGTGGCTTTAAAAGTTTCCTGTAGTACTGGTTCCGTCACGCAGAGTTTTGCCATCTCATTCCAGGTGAGGTATGAGTCAGAAAGCCGAAAAGCTATTTTTAAAGAGCTCTCAGATCTACATCTGTGTTCCAGCTAGAAATTAGAAGAAACATTCACCGTTGCTACAAGCCGTGGTGACAGGCAGAATTGCAGATCAGAGGACGGAGAGGAAATGATTGAATGGGGTTTTATTTTTAAAGATCTATGACCTGGGATGATGGTGAGAAGAACATCGCCTGGTGTTTATTTTGGGCCTAGAAAAGTAAATGCACTCACTGTAAATGTGGGGTTTTTTCCTCGGAGATGATGTTTTAGACGCAGGTGAGCTTTTCAAAGGAGCAGAGAAAGACCGCGTCTTTCTTAAATTTCAGTGGCACGTCCGTCTCTATATCCTGAGGACTGCTTTGGCGGTTTGGCTGCCCGATGCTGCTTTGCTGGCAGAGGAATGAAACAAGCAACTAACAGATCCCATGTCATCCCCTGCCACCCTGGGAGCAGCATTTGGTTTTCTGCTGCTCTCTGCTCCAAGGCTGTGACTATTTTTTTTTTCCTCCTTTCTTTGCCGACTTCAGCGCAAACGCAGCCCAGACCCATGGCTGTTCTCAACCTGCTGAGCTGCCTCTCCAAAGCTGCACAGCCCTGAGAGATGTACATTTTATATACGTGCTGGTTCTCTGCCCTGGCCTGCAGGGATGGCTACGTGGTCACAGGGACGTGGTGATTTATCCCCATGAACCCTGAAACCTCTCCACTTCATTTTCCTTGCCATTACGCTCTCCATGTTGGTCTTCAAGGTTTGAGAAGAGCACAGGAAGTGGCCTGTGCAGCAGCTCCCCATGGTGCCACCCCCAGCACAGTGTTCCCATGGAAGCATCCTGAGAACATCGACGCAGAGCCTTCAGAGTTGCTGCTGAAACCATCTGCAGATGTGCTTTAAACACAAACACAGGCTTCTCCTCCTGCCCATGAGGTTCAGGAGTGTGAAGACATGTTAGAGGGAAACACCAACCCAAGGGCTAGAAAGGCTCACCTCGCTCAGCTCCTGCTCTTTAGGGTAGTCCTCAATGTATCTTGATCTGGCTGCCTGCAGAGGCACCAGCATGTCCATACCAGAGAAGCCCCTCACCCAGGGCTGGCCAAGCACAGTGCTCTGCCCATGTAGAAAAGACTCACCCTCACATGACAGGAGAACCTGTGAAGGTGTCCCACAGCCGGTGTCAAGCCTGCAGCACGGGTTGCCGTAGGCTAGAAGTGCAGCAGTTTGTCCCTGTTCAGTGTCACTGCGTGCTGGTCAGAGCACTGCTGCTGAGGGCTTGCTTGAGTTGGAGCTTCCCAAGTGGGTGGCAGCACAGGGCAGGATACCAGGGTTTAAAGGTGATGATGCCAGAAGTAACCTGTGGTCTCCAGCGCTGCCAGGTGCCAAGATTTCACGGTCTGCAGATGTACTCGTCGGACCAGCTGAGGCAGTGCTGGATGCCGTCCCGGCACAACGTCCTGGGGACGCAGGAGCAGTACTCATAGAGCACAGGGCTGCAGCTCCACCACTCCGACCCGCACGGGGGGCAGGCGGCCGCTGAGAGGGATGGAAAACAGGGAACAGAAATGCTGCTGCTGCACTGACTCATTTCCTCCTTTCTTACGTGGGTAACTACCCTTTCATCCCCAGCAGCTACTGAAAAGCCACTGGTGATGACCCTGAGACTGTGAACCCACTGAAGAGGACACTCGCTTGATGCTGCTTGTGGGAGACAACCAGGGAGTGTGACTTTGCAATGACCTTTGCGGCAGACATGCCATCCTGAGAGGGACAATTAGATGTAATTTATTTTTTTTAGCAAGCTACTCTAGAGAAAGTTGCTGATACAGGCAGGTCTCACCTGAGGTTCAAAACCACAGGGGTGATTTAGGAACAAACCTGCTGCTCATTTTAGCAAGAGAAGGATCTGGATGGCTTTAAAGCTGCTGGGGCACGCTCAGTCCCCTGGCTCAGAGACTTCTATCTCCTGACCAACAACCAAAGGCCAGTTTCATAGAATCATAGAATGGTTAGGGTTGGAAGGGACCTTCAAGATCATCTAGTCCAAACCCTCCTGCCAGGGGCAGGGACACCTTCCACTAGATCAGGTTGCTCAAAGCCTCATTCAACCTGGCCTTGAACACTTCCAAGGATGGGGCATCCACAACTTCTCTGAGCAACCTGCTCCAGTGCCTCACTACCCTCACCAATTTGAATGATCACTGCTGCCTACAGCTACACGTCGCAACGAAACAGCTCCGCACTCAGCAAGCCACAGAGGAGGAACCACTTCTGGGGCTGGGAGCAAAGCCTGGAGCCTTTCCCCTCGGGGTTGCCACCAGGCTTTGGCACAGAGCCCTCAGCAGCTGATGGGAGGGAGCCTGCCCAGTTCGCACTCACGTCCTATCCCAGCTATTTCGTGTTTTAGGGCTGGGTGCCAGCCCCCAGGTGGTTCCAGCAGCATCAGTGAGCACCTCACCTGTGCAACCTATTTCAGTCCATCAGCAGACAAGATCTTTTGCCCAACAGCAGCCAGAAGAGAGACTTACAGCTCCCCATCTCATCAGAGCAGTCTCCGCAGTCGTTCATCCCGTCACACCTCTGATCGGAATAGACCCAGTACATGGGGTTACTGCAGCGGAAAACCAGGTATCCCGGAAGGCTGCGGGGCAAGTCACCTGCGAGAGCAGACACACGGGACACGTGTTCAACTCCACCGAGCATGGATGCACTGGCTAAAACGGGGATGGCAGCTACCAAAAGCCACTGTCATGGGAGGTCGGTTGTCCTTCCCCATGCGGTGTCAGGGCATGAACAACGCTGCAGATAAGGAAGCTGTGCTTGGAGAGGGAAAGGAATGCTCATGGCTGAGCTGGATGCAGAGTCTGGGCACCCCAGGCTTCTGCTTTAATGAGTTTTTTTCCAGGGTAACTGGACAATAAATGAACCATGTAGGCACAGAGCTTAAATGGAGGAAAACTGCATCATGGTTTAAAAAAAAACCCCTCAAACCCTAGGAAGATCAGAGGAGCTTGGAGTCTTTGATTCCTGGCACTCCCACTAGGTTTTGGGCAGTGTCATCTCTCAGCGTCTGCCCTAAAAAGGATCTAGCAGGTTTATCCGCTCACGTATGCAGCCAGAAGCACGGAGCAGGATTAGAGGGACATCGGCTGCTCTGTCTCACAGCAGGAAGATCAGCGCAGGGAGGATGGACGCAACAAAACCACTCACCGCAGAGTTTCTCCTGCTCATCCTCTCCGTTCCTGCAGTTGCTGACTCTGTCACAGACCTGGCTGGCCAGGACACAGGTTGCTCTGTCGTCACACAAGAAGCCTGTCCGGTTATTGGAGGCTGCACAGAAGCGGTTCACTGAAGGGAAAGCCAGAAAAACTTTATTCTCCAACATTTTCACGGTATGAGGAACAGATCAAGGGGAAGAAAGGGGGATTTCCAAAATTCATTTGGTGTTCTGGAAATAACCAGAGGCCAGGATTAATCTCTGGTAGGTTCATGGCAGAGTCAGAAGACTATACCTGTGATTTGAAGCATGACTATGCCACCTGGAGTTACCACAACCCTACGGAGTGAGCCATGGGAGCCGAGGAATGGCTGGTGATGGCTCGGACTGCACGAGGCTGGCGCAGCCCCGCACCATCCTTCCTCCTGGTCTGTGCCGGGAAGCGCCACTTCACGCACGGCAACAAACACAAAGGCTCTTCTCATGGAACGTTGTTTTCTGCCTCCGTTACCAAAACAAGTAACGACTCTTGGGATACCAACCTGGCACACGCGGCAGGAGCGCCAGCACTGAGCCCGCGGCGGCAGCGAGGACAAGCAGCGCCACGGCGGAGATGCAGGCGCGCCGCCGCGTGCAGCCCGCGCGGGCACTGCATGGCCGGCAGCGGTCTGGCGGGGGCGACGCAAAAGGTGAGGGGCTGGGAGGGGTCCAGCAGGGCCAAGGTGTTTGGGAAGGGAATGGCACGGAGCCGCGAGGGCGATGTCTGAAGGGGCTCCGTGCGGGACTGGTGGGGGGCTGATTTGAGGGTTCATAGTGGAGTTTTAATAGCCAAATGATGATGCTGAAGACCTCCTCGCAGGGAATTTCGCTGTTTGCAGTGTGGAAGAGCCCATGTCGCCGGTACGGAGCACTGGGAGTGAATGGCGCAAACGCCATGTCTCTATCAGAGCTCACCTGACGCACGCGGATGCAGAGGGTGGAGAAGGCCAAGCCCCTGCCTGACCCCACGGGCCAGCAGTGCCCTTTCCACAGGGGGAGCAGCTGAAACACAAGGCAGGTCAACGTAAGGCTGGGAAAGGTGCCCTCCCAAAGCCTAGGGCAAAACTCCTCAGGAGGTAAAAATTTCACTTTACAGTGCTTTGGGCTTTCTGCCCTGACCAGGACTTCAACGCTCCCACAGAACGAGGCTGAATTATCAGCTCAAAATCGTGAGAACAGGCTGAAAAGGAGCCCTTTTCCTCCCCAAAGGCACCTCCAGGCTGCAAAGGGCAGCAACCTTCCAGCGGGTCCAGCTTTCAGAAAGTCACGTATGTAAATCCAGCCAAATCCGGAAGCTAAACGCCAAACCCACAGTCATTGCGACACAAGGACAGCGCACGAAAGAGCAACGCCGACCAGCTGCCCTCATCTCAGCAATCCACAGCACCAGAGTGCTTTTCCTCTGACCAACATTGTATTTTCCTGCATTCCTTTGTATTTCCTGACCAATGGGAAAAAAAAATTAATGCGGTCATTTGAGAAACACGTAACTGGTCGCTTAACACAACCCCATGTGTATAACTGGAGTTTGGTATTTCTGAACTTCAAGATCTTTGATCAAAAAGTTAGAATTTGTCTTAGCTGTGCTTTGTATTTTCTCAGTTGTTGAGTTGTATGAACGCAAGTGAGGGCACAGACTTTGCTCCACAGCAAAGGGATCCCAGCTGCAGCCACCACCCCCTCCGCCACGCTTGAGCAGGAATCAAACGCAGAACGTTTCAGCTTGAAAGAGAAGTGGTGAGTTACAGCGTGTCTGTGCCTACAAGACAACACCTTTGATGGGAGAGCACAACAGTTGCAAACAGACACGAATACAAAATACAGCAGTGACGAAATGTCGTTGCAAACCGATCTACAGGTTTGCCATTGATACTGTTTGATCTCACTTTCTCCTTCTTAATATGGACAAAATTTGCTGAAGTTTGGGTATTAAAACATATAGAAAGCCTACAGCAAGTTCATTACGAGCCTTTCCGTGACAGACAAGGATTATCTATCATGCTACTATACCACAAGACTGCCAACTCCAGGCCAACAAAGAACAGCTTACGTTTATTGATGTTACAGTCTGGATGTTTTACTAAACAGAAGGGGGAAAAGTCTCAACAGACCAGAAATATTGGTTGCATTTTACATTACAAAGATAGTATCGATTGATTTATACTTTAATAATAAAAATGTTAAGCTCTGCATTTTATTTGTTACCTCTTTCTTCAGAGAAGGACTTTGTTGAATCAAAAGTAGCTACATCACCATTTCTCTAGAAGGAAAGGAATAAAAGACTGTTTACAGGAGCAGCATGCAGTCGCCACACAAGGTATGCCTTTCTAATTCTCATACCATCCTACCCAGGAATATATAATGTATTCCTTTATTTTTACGTACAAGCAAAAATTGGCTCGGTGGAAACGTGGCCCAGATTTAATTCACAATCACGGTTTAAATCTTAGTTACCCATTTGTAAAACAACCAACGCACGTCCAGCACTTTTTATCAAGACTCTCCTTTTGTATCAAATTAGATTAAGTAGAAACAACTCAAAAATCTCACAGAAATCAGTGATAACAAGGTCAGGCAAAGAACACTATTGAGAACACATGTACTTTAGGAAACAGTTGCACATAAGATTTTTCCGAAGAGAAGAACAGTACCTGGGGGTGAGTTTTGTTCATGTTTCCCAGAGCTACAGCCCTCACAGCAGCTTGAAGGACCACAGGGAGCTTTCTGCACCTTAACACGAGTGACGTTACCAGGATACAAAACCCAACAGAGGTAGGAAACACGGAGCGTGCTGCTGCCTGGGCACGCAAGCAGGAGAACACGCGGAAGGCAGCGCCAAGCCCATGCTCCAGCTCTGGTCGGAAACAGGGTTTCTGGTTTGCTTCTCATTCCTCCTGGCTCCATCTCGGTTTCACAACAGGTCATTAGGCAAATCGTAAAGGACACTGAGGTTTCAGATACTGAGAACCCCGTTGCCACTCCTGATGTTGATTTGGAAGAGGAATGCTCACCTCCAGCTGATGCCGACTGCATTTACTCTGGTGCTGGGTCAGGGAGAACCCCCCTTCAAAAGGGAAATGGGATGAAAACTTGAGGGAAGAGGGCTAGATCATCTTCACACAAGTCTCCTCCCCACCTCCTTTCCAAAACAAGGCTAGCAACGTAGCTGCATCAGCCTGGACTCCTGCAAGATGATCAGACCTGAGCAAAACTGCAGGATACAACCATCTGGAATAGCTTCCCTGCTTGAGCAACGAGCACAGGCATAGCAAATCCTCTAGAGTCCTCTCTTTCACTTACGTACTTGAATTTCCAGGCCTGCAGTGAACCTTAGCAGCTCAGCCTGTAGCTAACGAACCTTCCAAACAGATTGCAGCCTTCTAAACCGGCTGCAGGTCTCAGCACACGCAGAGCGGTTTCACAGCTTCGAGGATAAAGTGTCATGAGCAGGCAGCTTTGCCACAGAGGTGGGGAGGGGAGAAAAAGCACTGGCATAAAGTGTTTGAGGCGCTCGTGTTCTTCTCGCTTGCAGGAGGGTCCACAGGACTCAAGTGCCTCCAAATTGTTGCTACCTCACAGGTCACGATTCCTCCCCAGGCACTAGCAAAAACAGCTTACCAGGGCTTCGGAGGAGTCGCTGGCAGCTATATTGCCTATAAGTTGGCTTGCCCTAAATTGATTCAAAGCACCAAATAATGCCCAACATGGAGGAACTATCACGGCTACTTCCCTCTCCATCCGCACACATACAACTCATTCTCAACTATATTGAGTTAATATACACTTCTTGGCAAGGGCATCTGCCAGCCCTGCACTCAGCTGTTCACAGACTGGCCAGAATGAAATAAATAGTCTTTTAGGAGCTCCTCCTTCAGCATGGCAACACCAATTTGTCCAAAGCAGAAGCTTCTCACCAGAACAACATCACTGTCAAACTCGGTGCTAGAAAGTTCTCCTGTTCCAAGGGGGATCTCAGGTGAAGACACCAAATGCCAAGTAGCAAATGGTCTGCAAGTCTGGGCAACTGCTACAATATGGAAGAATGACAGACTAAGGGTTAAAACCTGCGCGTCTTAAATTCTCCATCTGTCTCTCTTAAAGAGGAAGTTTTAATTTCTAATCGGACTTGATACAGAAGGACTATTTTGAGCCTTCTGAAAGCTTATTAGGTGATTGTAAGTTTGCTGAGTCCCACGTAAGAGCCAGGTCAAGCAGGCTCGCTATGTGCACTCAAAACAGTCTATGATGGAAACGTTTAGAATGCAGAGCAAACCCACTCTGGCAGGCAAATGTCCGTAAGACCTGACATCTACCACCATCTATTTCCTACACCATTAAGCTGAGCTGTAGCCAACCAGGCAGTTGGATTTTAGAGCAGTTACCCCACATCAAAGACTGCTATGGTTCAGAAGAATGAGTTCATGAGAACGAGGTAACAAACACAAGCAAGCCCTTCTGGAGTAAAAAAAAAAATTTAAAATTTCAGAGAAGCTGAAGAGGGAACACGGATCAAGATATTCAGTATGATAGGAAACGACTGTTAATTCTAGCACTTAAAAAAAAAAAAAACAAGCCCTCTCGAACGTACCACGGCTATTTCTGCCAGCGAGGAATTGCACACACACTTGAGAGGGTTGCCTCATTTGTGTCAAGACGATTCCATTTAAAGTCTGACACGAGTTCAGCTGAACACATGCCTAAAGTGAATCTAAAATGCTTTCCTCCTGCGATTTCAATAATTTAAGGCCTTTCCTTTAAACAGTGGTCTTGGGCAGAGAGCAAACCCAAATTGCAGCAAATGAAGATGTCAGGAAGTTAAACATTCAAGCAAAAATGGGTAGGACAAGGCGTTTTGCAAAGTCAAATGCCAAGTCCAATTAAATAGTCCAATTAGATGAGAAATCTTGCGAAGCAGTTCAACTGCTGCAGCCTAGCTGCTACCTGATTTTACTGAGGGAAGACACTTTGACAGGAGCGTACAAACACAACACTTAAATCCTTCAGACTCTAGCTGACGCCAGTAACAGTCGTGCCAAGTGACAGATGCCGCAGGCGCAGAGTTTCCTGTGACCTACCAGCACATTACGGAATCGCTGGCTGCACTGCACCGACCGCCTCGCTGAAATGCCATCAGACAGCCAACAAAAGACAAACCACGTCAAACTCGCGTTGGGCTTTCTCCCTTAGCTGTAGGCAGACACAGCGCCACGTGAAAGCGGTCGTTTGTGGAACTCAAACCTAGGAACGTAAGCTATAAAGTCAAACGTTTTGGAAAAGGAAGTTTTGTGGAATCAGGTCATCAACACAATGGCGGGTGTACCGTAAGCATTTGAAACAGGCAAACAGCCCTGTTGTCATGAAGCTGGAACACTCCCTCTGCAACCACCTGTAATAATAAAGGAAAACATTATAACAGAGTTGAAAACATTTCCACGTGAGTTAGAAAAACTGGAATTGCTGAAGTCTCTTCCGGAAGGGCAATCCCAAACAAGAGAGTGCCAGGATGCCAGGCTATAATCACTGAAGCAAAGCCCATATTTACAAAAGAATTCAATACTGCTTGAAGAACACTGGCAGCCTGCACCAAAATGGGGCTGTACACCAAGGTTCACCCTACGTGAACAGAAACACACATCTTGGCTGAATCCCTGCTGCAGACAGGGATGTCCCACCCCTGCTACTGTGCGAGTGAATCCTGTTCCCAGAACATCGCACCATCGATTTTCACAACAGTCACACCTGAGGCCTTCGCAATAATGCCACCTACGCACAAAGGCACCTGTCAACGGCTGCTGGCACCTAAATTTCTGGGCTACAATGCTGTCCCACTAAAGAAGAATTTAACATGAAGAGGTACCACTAATTTAAGACTTCAAATTGCGTTTCTGTACCTCGATACAAGCCTACCTAAAACAAGCATCTCTTAATGGATGCCCCATCCCTGGCAGAGCTCAAGGCCAGGCTGGATGAGGTTTTGAGCAACCTGATCTAGTGGAAGGTGTCCCGGTCCATGGCAGGGCAGCTGGAATTGGATGAGCTTTAAGGTCCCTTCCAACCCAAACCACTCTATGATTGTATGAATGCTCTTAAACCTCATTGACAGAAAACCTGCCCGGATGGTCTTCAGCAGCTCAGTATAGGTCACTTACTGCACATTCCTGCAAACTTAACGGCCCCTGCACAGCTCCACCACCTGTAGCTACACAACCATTGGCATTACAGCAGGATTAGGAATGACTGTTGAACCAGTTGTAACAGTGAGGAAACACTATATTGTATCCTCCAGGACCTCTATGGTCTCACCAGAACTCAAAACCTGAAGAGGTGGTGTTTGGTTTTGTTTTCTTTTTAATCCTTCGGGAGTTTGTATAATCAACAAAATATGAAAGTGAGTTGGAGATTATGCATCCCAGACAGCTTTCAAACTCTGTTTACAAAGAGACTGTAAAATCACATATATCCCCAGTTTGCCAATACTATGGGAAGCAGCATATAGTAATGTCCTCAAAGAAAAGAAATGCAGAAAACAAAATAATAGAAATATGAGGGAAATATGTTGTGTTTGTGATTCATATGGCAAAATCAGATCACATCGCCCATGAGAGGAATGCTGCAGACAGGCTTTCATACTGGTATGTTCTCACCAGTAATTCACCACAGCAAAAAGCTATACAGCCAACATGTTCTATACAGTCAATTTTATTTGTCTGTTCTCATTTCTCAGGAATCAACTTGTTTCTGTAAATGAAGTTACAAGACTAGAATAGTTAATCAAGAACAGAAAGTAGAATTTCTTCAGAAAACACAGGTGCTAACTTTGCAAGCAATTTAGGACTTAAAGGCTAAAGTCTGACAAAATAATTGACCATGTTACATTTTGTTTGTGAAGGGGTATGTCCATAAGCTTTGAAAAATTTTCCATCTTTCGCAAACTTGAGTTCTAGCCTACAGCACCTCACAAATGCTTTCCATCTTGGATACCGCCACACTGTAAAAAAAAATATATTTCTGGTTTTGGACAGGGTTGTTTGTGCATGGACATGAACAAGTACAAAAATTCAGCAGATAATTTCGTAATATTTTCTCTTAACTACAATAGAAAGTGCAACACTAAAAAGGCATTTCCTGCCTACTTAAGATTTCTCATACCTTTACAAAGCTAACTCTGAATGTACACATCACACTCTAGAACACACAAATAAGTTTGAAAGTGTCATGGCAGAAGTATGGAAAACATGCTTACAGCTTTTGTAAGCAAAAAGACACAGAGCAAACACCAGTGAGAAGTGATTCTGTCTGGAAACAAACATAAATTCAAGATGTCTGAATCGTTACTACTAGTTGAAAACAAAATCCCGTGCCGTTTGTTGATTCTGTAACTTTATTTGCATTTAAAGACTGGCTGCTAAGCTTCGTATTTTGAAGAACCTCCACAAACGATCGGGAGTTGCTAGCTCTGTTAGAATTAGTCTTTTGGATCCAATGGAGACTTCTTTAAATTGCTGATTGAGCCAGATTGACTTTTGTAGGAAGAGGTCCTGCTTCTTCATGTTCCTCAGTCTTGCATCTAACCACAACAAGCGCAGAAGATGGGTATCTGTTCAGTTTTTGTTCATTCATGTATTCCAAATCTCCATAGATGCTCAGCTTCTGAAATATTTAAACAATTTAC